TCTCTCCGCTCTCTCCTGCCAATCTCCTTCCCTGTGTGCCTTGTTGCTGTCTTCTTCGGTTATTCCCCTGGTTGCCCTGCTATACCCAGATAGTAGCCGGTATCTCGTGTCCTGGAGACCTCTCTACCTGTTGCCCCGTCTGAGTTATGCCAGTCTTTCCACCTCAGATTGAGCTCATTTAGACCTGCAACTTTGCCTCCTGCCAGCCGGTTGTGCTTGAACTTCGCAAGTACCTCCCGTTTTGTTTCTGGATTGTTCTGCACCCAGATTTTGACCTTCTTCCATTGGCACAGAATCTCAGCCTTGATCATACCTTTAGTGGCCGCCCATACCATTTCCCGTGGATTCTTGGCTCCCTCCAGCGTTCTGCTGCATCTCTCTTTCCAAATTGCCCATAGCGTGACCTTGCGTATCATTCCAAACCATATCCTTTCAGGTTTGCTCCGATTAGGGGGTAGGTTAGTCCAGAGGAGGAGTTGAAGGGGGTGTTCGGGAAGAGGAGACATGAAAAGGCTATCCCAAAGGTCAGATGCCCTAGCCCAATATTTTGTGGCTTCATTGCATTTAATTAAGCAGTGTAGTATATCTTCTTGTTCCTGGCCTGCGCAGACCCTGCAGATGTCAGAGGAGTTTGGATCGTTTCTGCTTCTTCTGGCATGCAACCATTGATTGACCGGCAGGGCCGTGTATGCTATAAGCCACTGCATGCTTCTGATTTTGATTGGTTTTATCAACTTTTATGGTTTTATATTTTTTCCATGGAATCTTAGATATAAGTTCTGATTCAGTACCGATTAACTTTCGCCATCGGTCCTTGATTACTGGTTCCAGGTCCTTTGTCTTCAAATAACATCCTGTAGCCGAGTTTGGATTGGGATTGGAGATTTGCTGGTCTTGTCTCTTTGTGGCTGCCAAGCCCACTCATGCGGTTCAAATTCCAGGTCTTGGACCGATACTCCAATTTGGAAAATCTGTTTTGGCCAGATTCCTAGTACTCTCACGTTGCGAAGTGTAAAAGCCTAGAGTGTTGTTGTTTGTGGGTCAGTGTTGATGATGATAGGTTCATTCGGTTTTGCCCATTGGATAGGGAAGGATGTGAAGATGGACATCTACCCTATTCTTGATTGTTGATGGGAGAATTGGTACGCTCTCGTTGGGGTGCTCTCCTGGATTAGGATTCCCCATTCCCCTGATTTCCAGGTGAAGTCCTCATTGAGTAGATCCTTACAGCTTTCCGGGATGCTCCGTACGACCTTCCGTAGGTTTTCATCTCTGTGGTGACAGCCTTTTAGTCTGTGTTTAAGTTCATCTTCGTCCAGCCAGTCTCTCCTTTCCTCGTCCATATATCTCTCTCTCTCCACATCCCATTTTTGATCCACGTTAGCCATTTATTTCCCGTCTGGGACAGCGTCCAGGGTTGGTTCCCTTCGTCTTTCACCCATGGGTTGCCAAAGAGCGGTTGTCTCAGTACTTCTTCCTTTGATCTGGGTCTGTTTATCTTTCCTGGCATAATTTCCCTCCAGATTCGTAACAGGGCTTTCCAGTAGGGCAGCGATCCTTGTTCCTGTCTTGGAATTCCTCCTCTCCTCCCACCTTCTCCTACCTGTTTTAGGACTTCAGTCTTTATTCATCACCCAGACTTGTCCTGACATATTGGGGGGAGATGATGTTGGCGCCAGGGTCCTGATGCTGTCAAGCGCCAGCTTGTTTCATGCCAGCGAATGTCTGGTCAGGAGTTTGACTATCCGTTTGGCTTGGAGAGCTCTTGTTTCCTGTCTGGGTTCTATTATCCCTAAGCCACCCTGAGCCGGTTGTCTTGTGATGTAGTGCCATGCAATCTTTGGTATGTAGTTCTCTCTGTTAGGGTCCCCTGACCATAGATAAGCTCTAGTTTTTCGGTTTAGCTCTTTGATTGTCTGGTCAGGTATGGTCCAGATTGAAGCGATGTACCACGTCATTGAGAATATAGACGTATTGATGGTTAGTGCTCGGCCCAGTAAAGACGTGAAGGACTGGCTCCATTTTCCCATTTTGTTTATTTGGCCGGTCAATAGGTTATGTGCCATCTGGGGTGCTGGTCCGTCTTTTGTTATTTGAATTTCCAAGTATCTTGTGGGGGATTCAGGTATTTCCCATGTCATGTTAGCTTCAGGGACTTGCAGCTGGGGGGCTGGTTCTTCAGATAACCACCAGCCTATTGTTTTTCTCCAATTTATCTTCATCTCTGAAGCTAGCCTGAAGGCTTCCATTGCTCTGACTAGTGCTGCCATGGAGGAGTTAGAAGCTCGTATTAATACTGTTAGGTCGTCAGCGAACATGATTACTGTGGGAAATGCCATATGATGGGGGGAACCTACATTCATTTCCAGAAGTCTTTGGATAGACGGGTCCTTGCGTAAGAAGGACGCTATCGCTTCCATGACGAAGAGGAAGATGGGTGGGGCCAATGGGTCCCCCTGTCGTACAGACCTGGAAATCTGGTAGCTTTCTGATAAAAGTCCATTGACCTGAACACAACCAGACGCATCGTTATATAGGATTCTTACCCACTTTCTAAAATTTGGGCCCACTCCCATTTTTTCCATACTTGCATCTAGAAAAGTCCAGTTTACCTGGTCGTAGGCCTTTTCAAAGTCGAAGAATAGAATCGCTGCACTGATTTTTTTTCCCGCAATTTTCTTTGAGGCCTCATTTAGAGTCATAACATTGTCTAGAATGTATCTTCCTGGCATAAACCCAGCCTGGTCTATGTGAAAGCATTTGTCTGTTAGTTCTAGGATTCTGAAGGCTAGGGTTTTCGCCAGAATTGTTTTTTTTTTTTTTTTTTTTTTCCTTTTCCCATTTTTCATCCCACTTGCACTTAACAATTTTGACTCCTCTTCAGCGCATTTTGCTGATCCTGTCATTTTTTTTTTTTTTTTTTTTTTTTTTTTTGTGTTTGTGTGGGGGGGGGGGGGGTGTCATTTCTCGATTTGTGTGTGTCATCCTTGCACAGGGAAAAGACCCTGCAAAATCTCTGTGTATCATTCCAGTTTTAAGTTTTAATGGACGTCCCAATGAACTTGTTGATTGTGTTTTGAACTCCTTGTTGAAGTCTTTTTTCAAGTATTAAAAAAAATAAAATTGAATCACCATTCACAAGGAGGGCACGAGTTTGAGATTCACTGGGCTAACAAACATCGGTGTGCCTTTTTCCCTTTTTTTCTCCTCCTGATGATTTCCTGCAGGCTGACCTGTTTTGCGCGTTCGTAAGTGGCCAGCTGGGCACGGTAAGCCTCCCTCCCACTTTGTCATTTTTACCGAGCAATTTAGGAAAAGGAGTTTAAGTGGCAGAAAATGCGCAGGATTTGAATTTGAATTTGAATTTGAATTTGAATTTGAATTTGAATTTGAATTTGAATTTTGAAGCTAGCAAGTAGTTTCAAACTCAAGATCTGTTTATCAACAGTTACATCTGTGCATAGTACTGCGTTCCATTCAGCCCCATGGGTTGGGCTGGGCTGCACACACCACCACCTCTTTCTCCTTCTCCAGTTGTGCCAACTTTTCCCTCTTCACAACCACCATTGTTGTTGTTGTTGTTGTTGTTGTTGTTGTTGTTGTTGTTGTTTTTAAATACAGCCATCTTCTCCTCGTACAGGGGACAATTTTCTTTTTCACCTAGTACCCTTTTTTTTTTTTCTTCGCTCTTACCTCACTTGAAACGTTTTTTTCACCTTTTGCAGTAGCAGACGCAGATCCCAGGGCTCGATCCCTAGACCTTGCCCCCACCGTGTACAGTACCAAGTCGACCCTTGTGTGTTTGAACCCGTGACCTGTGTCTTGGTAGTTGTCTGTTGTCTGTCGTAGGTTTGTGTGGTCGTCGGGTCTTGAGCCGTAGGTCTGTCAAGTAGGGGTCGTAGCTGTGTAGAAGTCGTAGCTGCTACGGTCCTGAAAGGTCAAGGTCGTAGCTGCTACAGTCCCGAAGGCCAAGTCTACAGACTTTCGGAAGGTCCAGAAGTGACCTTTCGAGAATTGCTCAGGTTAGGCTAGAGGCAAGTGGGCAAGTGGGCAGTCCAACCCTGTCTAGTCAGCGGTACCCAGTCCCAGTCGCACTTTGTCCAGTCAGCAAGTACCATGTGGGACTGTGTGCACCTTGGGTCCGGTGGAAAGGAGCAGACCAGCGACAAACCAAGGTATAAATCAAGAGGCAGCGTCCAGTCATTCATTCATTCAGACTGTGAGCCGTGCGGAAGTGCTGCCTGAGCGACTTGTGCAAGGAGGTCTGCAGGAGCCCGAGGGAGAAGCAGGCAGAGAGGGAGATGAAGTGACCATAGCCGCTAGTAGCAGGGAGTAGGAGGCAGCCATAGCTGCTGAAGGTTAGAGATAGGGTACAGCGTGTATGTGTGCGAGTGTTTTGTGAAGTGTGTGCGTCTGTGGGACATCCAGGGAGATCCAGAGTAGTGTGCGTGGAAACAGTTGTCGGGAATACAGTGTTGGAAGATTGTTGTCAGGGAGCACAGGCGCCATAGCCATTCGAAGCAAGTTAAATCTGAACTGTGTTTTTGGCCACGATATCTCTGAGCTTTGTGTGGGCGCCTGGCGCCAGTGTGATTGCCATCTGTTAGATTCGAATGGTTCACCGGTTCCACTGTATGCTCTCATCTTTTTCATTTTCATTTAAGATTGAGTCTGCAGTGCGCTTCAGGTGTGTTAGGTCCATATTGGACTTAGGTTCTCTACATGTGCTGGTAAGTACGTCAGTAATCAACGTAAATACAGAGAAGAYGTTGCTTCGTGCCTTGCCACGTCTGGTCTGGTATCCCACCTACACCTCGCGTTTCGTGCATGCGGGATAAGGAAGAAGACGAGTCTGGTTGCACACTCTGACTTCTCGTATGTATATGTTGCCTCGCTCTCTAGCTATCCGTACAGGCAATACCTTCCCTAAGCGGTTCAAAGGAGGACTGCACCTACCTATGGAACCAACAGGGACTAAGCTTAAAAATTCACTAACCCAAGCTCAACCAAACAAGGTTATGGGTCTACAGACTCTACACCCTACCTATCTCTGCTCTGTGCGGGGAACAGCACTCAAGCTCCTAACACCCTACGCGGGCTGGAAAGAACCACTTACTTCCACAACCAGCCAGGAGGCCCAAGCCAACAATCTCCGCTGGTGAACCCAAAGTATAATATCCTCAGGAGGTCGCGGGGGAAAGAAAGGAGACGACGTTGGGTATTGAACCCGCGACCTCCTGAGTGCCACTTTTTGTCCACTGACAACCTTTTTTCCGTCATTTTTTTTTTAACCTCTGACAAGTTGTGAGAACTTTTTTTTTCTTTTTTCTTTCAATAAAAGTTATAAAACTACACTACTTTTCTTCTCTTAAATTTTCCCACCTCACACTAGCCACCTACATACCTCGCGCTCTCTACGCCACATATCTAGCATGGCAGAACTCCACACCTATGCACCGAAGGGGAACAGAGGGGAAACTGACTATGTCTACCCGCTCTACTCCATGCAGGGAGTAGTACCTACCGCATTCACCCGAATATAACGCCCGATCATTATAGCTGTATTTGGGGGACTTTTCAGTCCAGATGCAGCGATAATGACCGCTCGTTCTATTCGGGTGAAGATGGCAGGCTCCTAACTTCTAGTGAGGGATGGGATGGCAGGATTCCTGACTCCTGCCAAGACCAGCCAGAGGGGAGAGAGGGGGGGGAAGAAGCCAACTATGTGAGCTGGTAAATAACCCGCAGTCCGCCAGAGCAGGCTGTCGGGGGGCTCGAATGGAAGACATGGGGAATCGAACCCACGAGACCTCCTGAATGCCGCTTTCATGCTCTACCAACTGAACTAGGCCGCTGGCCCTCGTTGTGAGAACCTTTTTTTTTTTTTTTTTTTGTGAGAATATTTTAGTTTTATCCCACTTCCCCAGAATTCCTCTTCCATCTCATCCATCCATTCTCAGGGCATACTCGCGCTTGGACTTTTTTGCTTACTTCTGGACGTAATTGCGGCCAGATACATCCAGGTCTGGCCATAAATCCGGTGAGATACATGTAAAAGATTGTGCTGGTGTGCGTATGCTCCCCTCAGATTGAAGAGCTGTCATGGAATTGTTAAACACCAGTACCTCCAAAAGTTTTGGTGGTCGGTCTGCGACAGCCTAAATTCATTCGGGACGAACTGTTGCCGCACTGTAGCCATAGCTGGGAAAGGTACTAATGCAGTATTTTTTTGTTCCGGTCAATTTTTTTGGGCGGGCCCGCATGGAGCTCCACTCAGCGTGTGCGGCCTAAATGGTACACAGTGGAACACACAGACACAGGTACAAACTTTTGATGAGGAGATCATGAGTTTGAATCTCGCCAGAGAGATCAGATGGATACCATGATGTTAGGGGATACGCCCGTGAAAAAAAATTGCAAAGAAAAATACAAAGAGAAAAGAAAAGAAAAAAGAAAAGAGAAAGGTCATGGAGGTAGTACTTGTGCAGTATCCTGTGCCAATCGAGTCCTTCTCCGTTTTTCGAAAAAGGCCATGACGGTGATGGGGTCGAGAGTCCTAACAAGGCTATTTTTACAGATCAGTGCCCTGGGGAATATCCATTAGTAAAAATGTAAAATTTATAAATGGAATCACAGTATGCCCTCTATTTAAGGTTCGTTGAAATTCCACCATCGGTCATGACAGTGATCGGTGGGTCTACCGTTCGTTCACGAAAACACCGCACCCTCATCGTGACCGTATCGGACTGGAAAGATGGCTTGTATTCATTCAGAATCACGGTGACTTATGTTCAGGGAAGAGGCTAGCCTTGGAACGGCCCCTGATAAACAGAAAATCGGATTCTTCTGCGAACAATTTTCCAGTCGGCGATCACTTTTCCTGTGATCCGCTAAGAAATAAAATTGCAAAGGTGAATTTAGATTCATTTGGATGTTTTCTGAGAATTTGGCAGAGGCCGCCTCAGGCTGGTGATGAATAACATCCATTCTTGCGGCGCATTGAGGTGTGCACCTCGGCGCACGTCTGGCGCACCTCGCGCACCGCACCCGATGCGGCGCAAAAAAAAAAAAAAAAAAAA